GGGCAGAAAGGGATTCCTTGTTTTGGGCTAAGTTGTAATGTTAGTGTCCTTGTATCTTTGTATTTTCTTCTTTCCTTTCTTGAAGTTCTTTGTGACTCTTGGAAKATAAGTGTGTTTGWYTTCCACTTGTAAATTTTCTACTGATGAATTAATGAAAGTGTTATTGATCAAAAAAAAAAAAGGAACCATTGGACGGAGACCAAATTCTATTATCCTGCATGTTTTGATCCAAGAAAGCCATATCCAATTTGGCCAGTAACAGAACAAGGGAATCACATTCATTATCCCTCAACCCCCTCTTGAAGCCAATGGCCTAGTTTATCCTAGAAGGGGAGGCTACTTCATATTTTGAAATTGGTTCAAATATATAGTTGGAAAGGGAGTAGAGCATTGGGAATTGCAATTTGAGGGGCATGCCACCAATCCATAGTCATAGATCCTCCCAAAACAGGATTTTGTTCTCACAACACATATTTATTTTATTTTTGAAAAAGGTAAGGTAAATTTATTAATAATCAGAGAAGAAGAATACAAAGAGGCCCCACAATAAGAGCCATACACAAGGCCCGAAGCCCATAGAACATTACAACTCTAGAAGGCTTCTCGATCTCAGTTGGGCTCCAAGTACCCTGGTTTGGAGACCTTTTACAACTGCATTCCAAGACACCAACTTGCCAAAAGAAATAGAGATTAGACTGTCTACATCTTTTGATTTGTTTTGGAAAATTCTGCTATTTCTTTTCGCCCAGATAGTGCTGATCACAGCTGCAGGAACAGACCTCCACACACTTTTTGCCAGCTTGGACGGGCCTTGAGTCTCCCAGCACCATAGCAGGTCCAACATAGCATTTGGCATGGCCTAAGATAAGCCCAAGGATGCCAAGAAACCCCCCACAGCACATTTATTGTTTATTTGGATTTTTCTTGGGGGCTTTACCTTGCCCCTGATGAAAGGCTCTTCTCCTTTCTGCTCATACTTCCTTTTCCCTCGATTATTTTCTTTTACTTGTTGCTGATTATAACAAGGGGAACAAGTTAGAAAGTCAGATAAGGCCGAAAAGTTGGCCTTTGATAATGAACCATCTACTGAAATTTTAAAGTAAATGGTAAGTTGATGTTTTCGCTTTTACCGACCATGAAAAAAAAATATGTTCTTCTTTTAATGGTTGAGATTCTTCTATAAAAAAATAATAGTTGACATTCAATGCTTGACATTTGCTGCAGTGAGATTGAGTGAATCACTTTACAGTGTAAAAAGTGTTGGAGAGCATGGTTTAAAAGTCGAGGATTTAAATCGAGTTGTTGGGTTTGTTGGCGCTGAGAATTCTTGTCTTCCTCTTGGATTGCATGAAGATACTAAAAAATCCAGTCAAACTCAGCAAAAACATCAACCATTTTTGGGAAAGGAGTCTGGTAAAAATAGTGCATCAGTTCTTGCTGGTCACTCTATATATGTCGATTCGGATATTTCAGATGATCTACGAAGCAAGGTAGATTTTATTGAGCATTACCTTATATACTTTTGGAAAATTGAAGTAGAAAAGCTTTTGCATGTTTTTTTTTTATTAATTATCATTTTATGGTATTATGCTTTCAGTAGAGTTTTTTTTTTTTCAATGTTTCTATTTCTATTCATGTTTGGGGCATTTTGTGGTAGGTCATTGATGCAGCTACTAGAGAAGGTGCTATATTTGTTGATCACTGGTTCGTTGGTTGCAGTGTGAGTCATATTGTGTGTGAAGCACGGTCAATCCAGAAGTATATTGGCCACACAAGCACTATTGTTACGGTAAGTACTAGTTTCTGCATCTGTATTTTCTTGTATAGACCGGCCTACATTCTCTAGAGATTGAGTGACTCAATTTGCATTCTTACAAAAAAAATTCTGTTGGTGGTTTGGTTTATTTCAATGTCCAATTGTTGCTATCCCAAACTAAGGTTGGCATAGAACTTGGATAGTCTGCAGTGCAGTTTAGTTGGATGGCCTTGTGTGCCACATGTAAGACATCGAGATAAGTAATTGTTTTTTAACCTCGGGCCACCATGAAGCTCATCTGATGTTAAAGTTCTTTTTTCAGCCATTATGGATTCTCAGAACAGCAAAAGAGAATTATGTGCAAAGGCTTGTACACTTGTCTGCTGACTTAGCCAGGCAGATGGGCCTGATCCTGGAAAGTCTTCAAAATGGCAGTTCTGAGCAGGTATCCTTATTTTTTCAACAAATTATATGCAATATAAGTATATAACTTCAAAGTTCTTGTCTGGACTTCCTTTGCAAAATTAAAAAAAACCAGGGGTTCTTTAGTTGCCTGTATTTTTATTAGACCAAAATAATAATATGTTCAGTATTTTTTTTTTCAAAAGTAAAATAAAAATTTCATTAAAATAAAAAAGGAGAATACATAAGGAAGGTGATAAGATATCACCCGAGAGAGAAGATGACTGTTGAGTTATAGGATCATATCTTCAAAGTTTCTTTTCTCTTCTTCCTCAAACTCTTCGAAGGCTTTCCTAGTGAATTCCTCACCACCCCAGAAGAACAAGCCCAGGCTTTTGCTAAATAACCTGGAACCCAGTAATTTTGGTTATTGATCAACATTCTCTTGTCAGTTCTCTCATCCTTAGCTTTTAATCTCAGTGTATTGGTCTGTCTTGTTTCAGGAAGCAAATGGAGCCTGTGACCCTCAAGTTTCTCTGACTTCCCAGGAGATTTCAGCACAAAGAAAATGTAGAGAAAGCCTTGAAGAAAGGCAGCGAAGAGTAAACATAGCCAAAGTTGGTATTCGAAACCGCCGTGGTCGCCGTATGCAGGTGAGTTATAAGTGATTTCTGGGTTTATGCCTGTTGTTTTTCCTTTAATTTTTAGTCATGTTTAATTTAGTGTGTATATTGTGGTAAGTGGTAATGGTACTTTCAAGAGGTGACCTTAGTGGGATAGGGGGTTTGCACAGGGCAACCCTACAATTAAGTTAAGAAGATCACTTGAGAGTTGAGACCCAGTGACCAGATGAGACATCCTTCCTTTGGCTAGTACTCTTGCTGCACATGCTGAATGACCAAAATAGGTTTCCAATCTCCACTGAGAGCCAACATTTATCTCCCAGAGAGACACATAATAGCACAACCCAATTACATGAGATGGATTGGGTTGGGGGGTTTAGAACTTTAGAAGTAAAAGAAAATGTGCATGGTGTACTTAGGATTATCATTATTTTTTGTTTGGAGAAACCTTAAATAAATGATACATAGCAGGTCATACCCCTAACAAGAGTATTTTCCACTGGGATATTGTTTGTCAATCATCAGGACAATATTTTCCCACATTTGATAACTCATTGATATACAATGACAATTCTGCCTTATCATTTAAATGCAGACATGCCAGACTCCAATACGCCCAATAACCCCTAGCAGCCTTCTTGATTCAATCTGCTGGTCGATATCAGACCCAACTTCAGCTGCTTGTATTTATACGGACTCTTCTGGCTTTGAAGATGTTAGCGAACAACACACCTCTGTGTTTTTTGATGCAAGAGGGGATGGGAGGGATCCAGAAGCTTTGTTTGAGAATTTCACCCGTCCGCTGAGAGAAAGGTTCATAAAATCTCCATTTCTCCCATTTCATTACAAAATTTCATCTTTCTACTGGTATTAAAGGTACACATGCATTGGGGTGCAGACTTTTCATGACCTGCATTGGAGGTCTTCTGTGTCAGAAGTATAACAAGAAAGTACTTTGCATTTTTGGGTTTCTAGAATAATTTGAGGATGGTCATAGAAGATTGTATATATATCAAATAGGCCCAATCATTGTTTTAGGTTAATTTTGTGTAGAAGCCTCCAATGGTGCTTCCTGATTATTTTATACAAATGCAGCTATGCACTGGTATGCATCTTTGATGTCCCTCAGTTGAAGCTTTATTTATAACCATGTTTATTTTCTTTTGTACATTGTTGGTTGCAGTGAGAAGGCAGAGTTGATATTCAAAAATCACTTTCTTACTATACTGTTTCCAATTGACCGATTTGGTGAGATGGGGCCTTCCTCTAGAACATTCTTCAGCAGCAATGGTTTCACATGCTTGCAGGTGTTGAAACATATCTATGCATTTTATCAGGTATGTGGAGAATTTCTTATCTTCTATTAAAACTGATCTAATCTAAGGCTTCAACATGGATGGCTCAGAGTTTGGTCCAACCCAACCTGAGCTTTGGGGCCAGGAATTTCAGGCAGGGCCTGGGTCTGGAAAATTTAGCTGACTGCAGCTTGGGTTGAGGGGCCAGTGCTGACTTTGAGCTTTTATAATGTATGCGAACTCTATTCATAAAAAAGTATGCAAACTCTAGAACATGTGCACTCTGTATATGCTATTTGTCTTGGGCCTGTGCACATGGACACATGCATAAATTATGCATGCCATGTATAAATATGCATTTGGTGGTGTCTTCGTAGAGATATGCATTTAATTATATGCCTGTATTTTTTCCGTGCTTCCTTTTCTAAATTTGACTGCAAAGCCCAAATGAATAGGAGTACAAAACATGATGAACAAGAAACCTTTAAATTCATCCAACCTGCCTAGGCCTGACCAAAGCCTAAGTTTTTCAGGGCTTAGTTACCAAATATTAGGGTTGAGAGACTAGGTTGGCCTTGACCTGGCCTTCTTTTTGGCATTCTAAGAGGTGTGTATCTCAGGGTGAGAGAGGATTATCTCATTCCCAATTGCCTCTTTCACAGATTTGCTAAGAACCTCCACACAAGTTTTCCAATTCCCAATTGCCTGAAGTTTGTTCAACTGGATAAGATTATCTATTCAATATAGCCCTTTCTAGTATGCTGGTCTTAAAATTTACCTATTGAATGGCATTGAAATGGTTCATCCTGCAGGAGAACATGTCAGCAGATGAGGTAGAAGCTGCAATCCACACAGACTCTAGACATGCTGAACGGCTACGATCAGTCTATGCCAGTAAAGAAACAATAGAATGTGGCGTTGTGCAATTCAAACGAATTGATTTCTTGGGTAGTCGTAGAAGCTTTGAAATGTTGAAGCGTGTTAGTGGTGATAATAACAACAATGTGTATGAGTTGTTGATCAGAGCATGACGTTGTTTTTGAATTCAAATTATCTTCATTTTCAAAGCCAAGAATACATGGCCTGCACTACTGGAGGACAGAAATTGTACTGATCCCAGTTGCACTTGTACGGTTGTACCACAACAAGAAAAAAAGACTGTGGAAGTTAAGAGACCTCCATTTATATCAGAACTGAGATAATTTTGCTCCTGAAATTCTGTAGATTTGACAAAATTGTTCATGTATGATGATTGTTGCTAGAGGTACCAGACTTCCACCGTTTGTTTGTGACAACTGTTCTGGTGTGCCAATGGTACACGGGATGTCTGAAATAGATTCTCTGATTGTTGATTAATTGTGGCCTTATTTACGGTTGCGGCAATTTGAGTTTCTTTGGGGATGGGCCGGTGGGGGTGGGGGTGAGGATCTGCCGCACAGTTAGGATTATTTGACTATTTACAAATTTATGGACTACAGTCCGGAATGGTTATTGTGTTTTCTTATATTTAAATGGTAAGGAAAATCTTATGTAGGGGGTTAATCATTTACATGTTTAACTTCAACTTTCAAATACAAGTGATGATGTCTCGGATTTCAAACACCACCTGAGCCCTTGTTTCCAAGCGCTTCTTAGTTAAATATTCGATGCTTGTTAGACTGGGGAAGTGAATAATATCTCAATTGATGTGGCATCCGTTGAGATGGTAGCCTATCTGTTACTCCAATATCTGATGGAATACAATCAAGCTATTGGCAGCCAGAAATGCTTCCTGGGAGCAACCCCAAACGGAGTCTTAGTAGCTTCAGTACTTCTAGGACTAAATCCCCTCGGTTCTATGGTGAATACTGAATACAAGGCACTGGACATGTCAAATTGTCAATTGGGATGTATTAACGCTTCAATTATACATCTGTATGATGTTATTAGTTATACAAGCATTTTTTTTTGCACCCGATACCACCAGAAATGTTCCCAACTTCCCATGGAACATGACTTGCGAGCTATTCAATTTTTCGAAACAAAACAACTGTCACATCAGCAAAAACTTAGTATGCTTGCCTGCCAATGTTTGTGGAAAAAATCAGCTTAACACCCTTGCCATTGCACAACCAAAAGATGAAGCTCTGGTTACAGGTGTACAATCCATGTGGCATTGTCATCCACGTCAGATCTGGTACTTGAGTTTTGTTTATCATGAGTCATGACTCATGAGACCAGCTGTTGAGGTTGCTTCTAGCCAACTGTTTGGGGCTCGCTGGCTCTGTTCTTTTATGGCAAGTGGGAACACTGATCAAGATTGATACGGGATCTCCCCATAAAGCTCTGAACACACCCTGAAAACAATGGCATCTACCTACACATTGGGAACATTTCTTCATATTTCACACACACAAAAGAGATATTTCCCGACGTGGGTGGATGCCAATGTTTCAGGGTCCATGCAAAGTTTTGTAGGGAGGGAAAATACGGGCCCCATCCAATGCACCTAGCGACGCATAGTCTGGCTTGCTTATGTTGTGCACCGTACAAAAGGCACTGGATCGAACTTATTCGAGATAGGTTGTTGACCTTAAACTTCTAAATGGATTGGGGTAGGCCAACTAACGGCATGGGCGTCAACCTTACTTTTCAGAGTCAATCTTGGAAAGCAGGTACTCAAGGTTCACGAGCATTATGGAGAAACCTAACAAGGCTCACGAGGAAGAACACTTGGTCTAACTAGATCGGTACAGACAAATCGTCTTGGATTACTGGATCCATGGTGATGGAATCTAGGAGAAAAAGGTAGACAGGTTACGTGCCGAGCCAATTAATTAAAATACTTAAACCAACTTGAAGAATTCTAAATTGATGACATTCTTCGGATCCCATCGGGATCTAAAACATCTATGCAAAATAAATTAATAAAGTTGATGAGTTGCCAAGATAAAAGCATTTTTATTCCATTTATCTTTCCCCAACATGTTACATAGTTTTGCAAATATGAAAATTTCCCACATGGAAAAGGTTTTATCCATAAAACTGAAGTTTTACAGTGGAAAAAAAAATCTGCCTATGAAGAAACAAGCAGAGCCTTGGGAAGAAAAGAAAAGCATCCCCATCCATGGCTGGGCTTGTCCCACATGAGAAACTGGTGGGTTTACAAATTATACATAATTGATCACAGATTCACAATTGTACATTTTCCTTGTTTTGCAAGCTCATGAAGCATTGAAAGTGCTGCAGAGTCATGTGAACTCTTTTTATCAGGTGAATGATTTCCTGTTGACTCGATAACACCAGAGTTGGGAATGTGTAAAGAAATTCTTGATACAAAACTGTTGAACCCTTTTCTTTTTTCAGAACCATCACCAAATTCAATTGGCAATCTGTAGGTCACAATGCACATAGGAAAGGAAGATGAGGAGCATGCTACTATGAATACAAAAGGGAATTGATACCACTTCTTATTTTTTAATTCAGATTTCATACCAGTTGGAGACAAGACAATCAAAAATTCAAAGAAGACTAAAGCAGGGGAGCAAAATAAAAGTTAGATTACTATTCTATTGATTTGAATGAACTAACCTTGACTTGTGTTCTATGGTATGCAAACTAGGCATTGGCCAATGCTGTCTTTTACAGAGCTCATAGAGAGAGGATCGAGGGCCTCCTTTTTGCATGCTAATTGATATAGTTACTGCAAAAGAGTACCAATAAAGCTTTTAGCCACATCATTTTTCTGTTTAAGAAAATATAAACTTTCAGTGTGTAGGCAAGCTGAATTTTGGGTGCTAACTCTTCTGTGTACTCAAACAGTACACAAATGTGTTGTATATGTGATAAATAAAGTCAGGATATCACCACAGAGATACCCTACTTGTATTTATTTATTTTTTGATAAGTAAATGGAAAAATTTCATTATTCAAAACAAAAACAGGTACAGCTACAACTTGACAGGGTGTTGAGGCATTGAGGCAACACCCACCCATACACTAGATATAAAAAATAGAAAGACTATCCATAGGAACAATGCATCAACTGAAAAAACTGTCAAAGTCACAGTTTTGCAATTCTTTTTTTTTTGAAAGATCAATAGAAAAATTTCATTAAACTGAAAAAGAGGTACAGTACAAAACTTTTGATTGTCAAGTTGACAAACCAAGCAAAGGTACATCATTCAAACTGAAAATAAATCTTCATTACAGGGCTGTAACTTTTGGTTGTCAAGTTTTGCAATTCTAGCACCTCCCAAAACCTTTCCCCTAAATCTTCCTTCTTGATCTGAACAAATCTGGGTGCAGCAGCACCCTATCTTAAGAAGCTTTGCCAGTAGGTGCCACTAGTTTCTTTAAACTCCAGTATTTTGTCTTCAAAGTATCTTTTGTTCCTTTCCTCCCAAATGCACCAGCAAACCGCAAAAGAAATACAGGTCCATAGCAGCTTAGCCTTCTTACAACCTCTAAACCTTGGCCACCAAGAATCTGTGCAGGGGAACCAGGTTGGAGATATCTAACCCCAAACAAGGCAGAGAATAGCTTCCAAATGAAGACAGTCACCTTGCACTGAATGGACAAGTGACTCAGATTCCTCTTGCTCTCTGCATGAGTAGCACATGCTAGCAAGACTGAATCTTCTACTCTTAAGGTGATCCACAGTACGCTGCCCATATCAATGAGCCAAGCTAAAGCTTCCACACTCGGGGGCACCGGATTGCCCCAAATGCCCACATCCTGATCAAACTCCAAACGGTTCTTGCACAAGGCTAAGTAGCATGATTTTACTGTATATTTGCCATTAGAGCATTCCTTCCACCATAGCTCATCTCTTAAATGCTCTGAAACCTTTACTCCAAGCTTTTCCAACCAATTAATACATTCTTCTACCTCTCCTTCAAGCAAAGGTCTCCTGAAACTTGGACACCAGACCAGCTGATCTCCATATCTCTCAAAACATTGACTAAGGGTGATCTCATGCTCAGAGAGTCTGTACAGCCTTGGGCACACCTCCATCAGTTTACCCACCTCAATCCAATCATCTTCCCAAAACCTTATCCTCTCCCCATCACCAAAGGATAAACAAGCGAAATTCTTAAACTTCTGGTTAAATTTCATAATACCTTTTTTATTGGAAAGGTATGAATTTCATAATACCTTTCCACACACAAACCCCATAAGAAGTTCTAACCTCCCTTGATTCCCATCCAAACCTAACCACCCCATATTTCCCCACCACCATTCTCCTCAACAATGAGTGACTCTCCTTTTCCAACCCAAATCTCCACAGCCATTTCCCAAGAACAGTTCTATTAAAAAATTTCACTCTTCTAATCCCCAAACCCCCTCCCTCTTTTGGTCTGCATACTTTATCCCATTTAACCAAATGGAATTTTTTGGGATCCTCTCCTCCCAGTCCTTCCCATAGAAAATCCTTTTGAAGTTTTTCCACCCTCTAGGCAATTTCAGCTGAGACATTTAGTAAAGGAAAACAATATGTTGGTAGACTTGACAATACACCTTTAATAAGAGTAATTCTCCCTCCTAACAACAGATATCTTGCTTTCCACCCATCCAATATTTTTCCTATCCTCTCAATAATAGATTTCCAGATAATAGAAGAAGAGGAATTTACCCCCATTGGCATGCCCAGAGGGAGCTCACTAATCTTGCATTCAAAGGCATTTACACAATCTGTCAGCACCTCCCTTCTCACCTCACCAACTCCAATCAGTGTACTCTTTGACAGATTCACCTTCAAACCAGTTAACAGCTCAATTAGCTAACACAACTCTCAAATTCAGGACTTGTTCAACTGATGCATCAAGGAAAATTAATGTGTCATCAGCATATTGCACATGAGAAATGCAAGGGCCATCTGACCCAACTGAAAAGTCTTCAAATAAACCCCACTGAACACTTCCATCACTAAGACAAAGAGAAGAGGAAAAATTGGGTCACCTTGTCTTAAGACCCCTTTGAGCTTTAAAAAATTCTGAGGAAACCCGATTTAAGAGAACTGAGAAGAAAACCGAAGATACACATGCATAAATCCAGCTTCTCCATCTCTCCCTGAAACCCATTAGCCTCTGAATCTCCTCCATAAAACCCCACTCCACCTCAAAGAGTCTTTTATATATTAAAAGATATATACAATTACAAGAATGCCCATATAGGGCTTTAAGAGAAGAAGAATAAGATGTATATGTAATATACAATAGGGACTATACTAATAAGATACATCAAGTTACCGAGTCTCCCCTCAAACTGATGCCTAGACATAAGCATTAGTTTGCCTATAAGAAAGAGATGTCGAACTCTAGTCATAGCTTTGGTGAAGAAATCAGCAATCTGCATGTCTGAGGCTACATGAGGAAGCGATATAGACCCAATAGTGAAAATATCTCGGATAAAGTGGCAGTCTACCTCGATGTGCTTGGCCCTCTCATGGAAGACAAGGTTAGATGCAATCTTGATAGCACTCGTATTGTCTACATAGAGAGGAATAGGAGTAGGAAGCTGAATGCCAAGATCCATAAAGAGAGATCATAACCAAACAATTTCATTGCAAACCGAAGACATGGCCCTATACTCTGCTTCAGTGGAAGACTTGGAGACTGTTTGTTGTTTCTTACACTTCCAAGAGATGAGTGAATCACCCATAAAAACACACCACCCAGAAGTGGACCTACGAGTGTCTGGACAACCAGCCCAATCTGCATTAGCATATATGCTCTCAACTGAATAGGAGAGGAGGAGAAGAACAGTCCATGAGAAGTTGTGCTTCTAACATATCGAATGATGCGATGAACAACAGTTATATGAGGCTGACGAGGAGCAAAAACAAATTGACTAACCTGAACAGCATGAGAAATATCAGACCGAGTCATAGTGAGATAAATGAGGGACCCCACAAGCTGGCGATACAAGGCAGCATCGGAAAGTAATGGACCTTCAGATTTAGATAGCTTAAGATTTAACTCCATAGGTGTACCAACATGCTTTTCATCATTAAGACCAACAAGTTTAACAAGGTCAGAGGCATACTTCTGCTAACAAACAAAATACCCTCGATCACTACGATGTACTTCTAGCCCCAGGAAATAGGTGAGAGGGCCCAAGTCCTTCATGTGAAAGGAATTATGAAAAAATAGTTTCAATTCATGAATGCCTTCAACATCATTCCCAGTCAACAACATGTCATCAACATATAGTAGGAGAATGGTAATACCCTGAGGCCGTCGCCTAACAAAGAGAGAGTGACCAGAAGAACTTATATCCAGCAGCAACTACAACATCGCGAAAGCGTTCAAACCATGCCGGGGAGCTTGTTTTAGACCATATAGAGATTTTTTGAGGCGACATACTAAAGAAAGATCACTACGGTATCTAGGAGGAGGCTTCGTGTAGACTGTCTCCTTCAACTGACCATGAAGAAAGGCATTTTTCACATCAAGCTGGCATATGGTCCAAGACTAAGCGGCAGACACTGCTAAAAGAACATGGTCTGTGGTGATCTTTGCAACAGGAGCAAAGGTTTCTTCATAGTCGGTACTATACTCCTGACTATATCCCTAGGCAACTAAACGTGCCTTGTATCGATCAAGAGATCCATTAGATTTTAGTTTGATGTTGTAAACCCAACGACTCCCAACAATGGATGCATCTGGAGGAGCAGGCACAAGGTCCCAAGTGTCATTCTCATGTAAAGCATGAATCTCTGCATCCATGGCTTCCTTCCACTGAGGGCTACTATTAACTTCTTGGTAGGAGCGAGGAACATCTGTGGAGGATAGGACAACAGACAAGGAGTCTAGATATACGAGTAGAACGACGAAGAGGAACAAAAGTATGAAGAGTGTCTAAAGCCGGTATCACTTACAGGAGCAGTGGTAAGATGATGATCTGAATTGGGAGGAAGGAGAGTCGCAGGCGCTGGGGCTGGATCACGTAGTTGCTTGTGAGAGAAGACAAGAAGGTCCTTCTTAGCAGAAGGAGGTGGAGCATCCCGTGAATCAAAGTTTGGCAAAATAGAAACAGACGGTGCAGGCAGTCTAGCAATTCTAGCAAAAAAGGAAATGTGCTCAAAGAAAACAACATTACGTGATATATGAATGCGATGAATAGAGGGATCATAACAAAGAAATCCTTTGTGATCAAGATTGTAATCCACAAAGGCACACATGACAGACTATGCAGACAATTTAGAGCGTTCACAAGAGGGAAGATGAACAAAGCACACACATCCAAAAACATGAAGCATAGAAAAATCTAGAGAACGACCAAACAACTTCTGAAAGGGAGGCATTACCAAGAACAGAGGAAGGAATATAGTTGATAAAAAACATAGCTGTATTGGCTGCCTCTACCCAAAAAGAAGGTAGAGTATGGGACTCCTGCAATAATGTCCTTACAACACTAAGGATATGTCCATTCTTGCACTCGGCCACACCATTCTGCTGAGGAGTATCTGGACAACTTCGTTGCACTTGTATTCTATAGAAATAGTGAGTAGCCACGAATGTGAGGTTCCATACCCACACTTAGTTATTTTCTTTTAATCCTTTTTTAAGTTGGGCCAGTTGGCCTTATCCTAGTTATGATTTGTTCTATTCTAGATAGGATTAGAATTTGCCTTTTTTTTTTCTCCTATTCTTATAAGGAAACTAAACTATATAATGAAATTAATGGGGCGGCAGAATT